CCTTTGTTTAACCGGAGAAGTTCCATTCACTTTTTGGGGAGAGACCTGGCAAAGAAATGCAGCACGACAAATAAAAGCACAAAGCATTTAGAAAAGTAAAAATCAGCCTTGTAACCAGGCCACTTAAAAATAGTAAATTCTTCTGGATTTTAGAATTATTAAGAAGAGCAAATCATTAAACTTTGAGTCATTCCACAGCCAGAGATGCAGAACACACAAAAAACATGTTTCTGTTTCCATACAGCCATTTGAGACCCGACGTAAAAAGATCTGATAATATTATCTAGTAGTTTTCTGTGTGATGCTGACCCGGGACAGATTGTCTGAAAGCAACCAAGGCTGAGAGAAAACTAACTCAGCCTGACCAGAACCTGACGGGCATTGTGCCTTGTGTCAGAATCCAAACAGAGCCCAACACTTTTGCTGATTACAGGCACGAGCAGGGTGAAAAATGAAGTAGATAGCCCTGCCAGCATGACCGAACTCGACTCAAAGCTGAATGTCGCAAAGGGAGCGAACCCTGCGAGCTAGTTCAGGCAGCCAACTCATTCATACCTCATTCTCCACAATCATCTATTATACACACCCACCTTATTAGGCAGCCTATTTAAGCAGAGAGTAATTTCCCATCAGCCCCTTTGCCCATCATATCTGTGTAATCATATCGGGGGAAAAACTGAGTTGGAGCCTAGACTCCGAACACAAACTATGTTCTACCACCGCTATAAATGGTTGAATGTGAGTTGTCTGACTGAACAACTTTTTTGTCTGAACCTGGCCTGACCTGGCCCGCTTGGGTTGGGTGTCCACATTCAGATCTGGAACCGCCTCATATATAATGTTAACAGTGAAAGAGCTTACAGCTGGCCATTGGTTATTTATGATTTAATAATGAATCGGAAATGCCCTTTGTTGGATTAGAATACTATAAAGTATAAAGCAATTGTTTTCAATTAGTTAGCATATTTGGGATGTTCAATGAATAAAATCAATACATCAGAACACATTTCAAATAGATTGTACGTTCGTGTTATGCACTTAGCCACACAGCATGAGCCCAAATGGCATTTTAACTGGGCAGCAGTTTGCCAGGTACATTTTGTTCTTGGAGTACAGTCTCCTCTCAGCAATTATAATAAACATAAAGGACTCGATTCTGCCTCCCCAGGAATCCAGCCAACAGCAGGCTTCATAATTTCGCCCATTCTAAACACCTTATTTGAAAAATATGATGCATAACCCAGGGAGAAAAAAGTCACACATTTTAGCACTTTTAGAATTCATTTATTCTGGGTGTCTGACCTTTAAGATTGTGCTTACTGAAAGGAATTGTCATGGATACCTGGGGCATGCTGAACTTGTGACTGTCATCAACAAAATAAAACTAAAGCATTATACCCTCTTGTTTTTTTTATACTACAGTATGCACCAAAACAAACGACAAAGCAACATGTATCCGCTGTGCAATTGAGGAAACACACTGCAGCATCAGAGCGCCTGAAAACAAGAGAGTGGGGGATTTGTCGCAGCCACACCCAAACACCTTCTTCAAGGGATTGAAGAGATCCAGCGCAAATATTTGCGTGACTGCCAAAGCCGATCGAGATAAATACTTAAGGTCTTGAGCATTTGAGTGAGGAGGGAACAACATCGGGACGTCAGCATATCCCGTGGCGGCTCATGAGAGGACAGTTGATTGAGTAGTCTGGCGTAAGCGGCCTAACAAACTTGATTTCTTTGTGCCAGTGACATATTGAAATGGTGTGTTTTATTTTTTCAGGCTGCTCTCCCTGGCTGGCACGGCACTCTTACACTCTCATCAGCAAGACCTGCTCTGCTCTGCGCTCTCAGCTGCTTTGTTCCAGCTGATGTCATCTAAACCTCGTCCCTGCAGGGTTGTCTGGGGTAGATAAGACATCCCCTCCCTCCACTGGCCTCCTGCAGGAAAAAAAAAAAAAAACGGGGGCTGCTGCTATGAAGATGGATTACACAGCTGGTGACACTAGTTCCCTTTCTGCTGAAGCCACTGTGGAGTGCTAACGCAATTAAGGCAATTAATCTTCAACAAGAGGAGTTCACAGCTACCTCCTATGAATTTACACCTTTCCGTACAGGTGTGTAACCAAACAGACATGCTCAGACATGCATGCATCCACACCGCGTACACGCATACAAATGCTGTAATGTCTCTGGACTTCATATATGTTTTTTAAAAAACATTAATACAAATGAACAAGCAAGACATGTGACTCTTGTGCTGAACACAGTCGATGTGTGAAACCAGGATGTTATTTGTTCCATCATTCCGTGAAGTCTTATGGTTTCAGCAGGATGAGACGATTCACTCTCGTTGAACTACAGGCACGAAGGCTATTATAGGGCGGCCATTTACAGACAACTGTTCTAATGATGTCCACAACAGATGCTGAACATTTTTATTGTGTGGCCTGCAACGCGGGGGTGTATGTGCCGATGTCTCAGAGGAGAGGACAAAGGGAGAGAATAATAAAGAGGGGGGAGCTGTAATAAGCACATTTAAAGGATCTGCTGTGTGTTTTCAAGCTATAGAAACAGTCACTCCACTTAGTAACTGGCAGTACATTCCAGCATCACGGCAAAACAAAAAAAAAGATTCTCTTTCTTCTTACTTTTAGAGAAGCAGCACAGATGGTCAGAGCCAAACATCATTTATTTAGATCAAATAGAAGCATTTTAACATATTTCTGAACTTCAAACAGACTTTGACAACCACCAAGATAAAGAAATCCATCTACTAATTGATCATAATCAAAACAGTCAAGTTCCAGCTAAAAACATTTATTCCATGATTTAATTTTCAAGTCAGTTGTGTGTAAGAGTCAAACGATTTGATTCCTGAATCACTCATTATTTGTCAAAGCAGTTGGTCATAATTTGATTTATAATTGAGTGAGAACACTGCAGGACAAGTACATGCACTGACCATAGACTGTGGCACTGACAGAACTTCAGGGAAACAAAGCTCCACAAAGTGTCCACATCTGTAAAGACGCTGCCATTTCATTCATCAAGAAGGACGTAGAGACAAATGTGAAATCCATCTGAACTTTGAATTCAAAACAACAGGGTCAAAATGCTCAGGGCACGGTGAGGTTGAAAAAAGTGTGAGAGGGAGCGACGCAGGGCGAGTGAAGGGCACCAGCAGCGAAACCACTATGCAAATTCCCCCGCCACTTTGTTTGACAAGCAACAACACTGCTTTGTATATATGCAAAGCCTGGCAAGACACTGTGCACACAGGCCTGCTAGAGCCGAGTCATGCTAGAGTGGTGACACCCGATGGCTGACCCCTGTCTGCAGCCAGGCCACTGGGCCGGTCTTCACACGCACAGACAGACACACACAATCACTGACAAAAGTTCCCACATGTGCACGTCTCTTATCTCAGGACTCAAACGTAGCAGGACGATAAGATTGTTCCTCAAAAACTTGTGTCAGAAGTTGAATTAGTGGATGCGACGTCATGTGACTCACATCACATGACGTACCTCACTCTCCACAACCATCAATAATACACACCCACATTATTAGGCAGCTTATTTAAGCAGAGAGAACTCTCCCATAACCCCCTTTGTCTGCACTGCTGCTGCAGTATGGATACCAGTTGGTCCACCACCCCAGCATCCACCTGTAGGCTCCGATGGAGGGGTTACAAATATTAGATCATCACTCCCATCATATCTATGTAATCATATCAGGGGGAGTGATTAAGTCTGAGCCTAAACGCTAAACACAAACCTGTTCTACTGCTGCAATAAACATTGGAACGTGAATTGTCTGACTGAATTTAATTTCCGGAGCCTTTAAAAACTACTTCATTAGAACTTTGGATTGAGTCTCTTTGGCCACCACTAAACAGCAGGAGGTAAAACATGGCAAACCCCATTAACCATTACTCAGTTTGACTCCATGCTGCCTTTCTTCTCTGCTGTTCTGTAAGTGTTCTCACATAATCTGAGGGCTTTATTATGAAAATCTCTCTCCGAATGAACAGAAAAAACATGGCATTAGCTGAGGCCTTCGGTTGAACCTTAATACACTGTGTTCATACTTCTAACTATAGAATAGGAATATAATTGATCATCTCGTACAAATTCAATATACTGAAAGATATTCTGAAAGTCTAGACATAGGGTGAAACTGATGGGGCGACAAAACAATGGCTCCTTGTGCAACATTTATTTTGCAGCAGAGATGAATTAGAAAAAGAAATCGTACTACTGGGCTGCTTCAGGTCTGTTTTCTATGATGCAGTATTTGGGGCCATGTTGAAGAAAACACATCTGAATTAAGAGGAGATTGTAATATTATGAGAATAAAGTCGTAATTTTACGAGAAAAAAAATTGTAATTTATGAGACAAAAAATGAGTAAGCCCAAAACATGCTCACCAGGGTTTCACTTCTTCTGGATGTAAAATCTTGAACCAATCTAATTTTGAAACCAAGTTTCAAAATTAGGAAACTTCATTTCCTCCAAGTCTGTTATTCTTTCTCCAGAATAGACTCAGATTCTTACACAATATGTCCTGATACTTATGATAATATGATGTTGATGAACCTAAATATCAAGTATCATGTTATTTGTGAGACTTTAAGTATATAAAGTATAATGTTCTGATATTCTCTCTGTAAAGTGACACATAGCATTAAGTTATGAATTCATTCTCTCAATTGTATGACTTTTTCCCTTGACATATTACCACTTTATTCTCGAAATCTGAGACTTGTTTTTTCTTAAACATGGCCCTGATACTCAGATGTATCTGTCAGTATTTGTCAAGATGCTGCATCTGGAAAGAGCATGTGTGGCTCAGCATTAAGACGTGCCTGTATTACCACACCTGAACACGACCTCAAGGGATCTGTACGTGGCTCAAAGCAATCAGAGCACATGCAGGTAAAAGTCCTACAGTCCTCACAGTGTGGCAGAGAGCAGAACAAAATGTATAAAATGCGATACCTGTTATTTTCTCGGAGTGGTTCGCTGCCCTTCCGCCAAGAGATCACACCCCAAGGAGACATCTTCGGCCGGCACTCGATGAGCACATCTCCTCCTACCTTCACCAGCGTCTGGCTCCTCAGTTGATTGTGAGAGAAATCTGGGGCAACGGCTGAGACGAGAAGAGCATATTAAAGCCAGCATTTGTAAAAGCCTCACATCTCCTATCCTCAAAAATTAACTAATTCCTCTCTGATTATTTATCTGATATCCAATTTATCTCATTTTCCAAATGTTAAAACTTCAAAATAGGATCGTAAATACTGTACACTGTCTATCGCCATGGATAATTAAAAGAAACCAGATTACATTATTTGCAATCTGAATTAAATGAGTAATGAGGAATCTTAATAGTAACACCTGCAGTTGATGTGGAGATCAGTGTAACTTATTATTATTCTCAGTTAAACTTCGTGTGATTCTTTGATTTATTTTCACAGCAGAGACAGTAATATTTTGTTCTTTAGTGTTTCACCGAATGATTATTCCAAAGTAATAACTTTCCCTGACTGGAAGCCACTCGAGAAAAATATACGGCCTTTTAAAAAAATGAAAGCGTCTGATTCAGTAACCTGACGTTAACCCCCCCTGAGTCGACGTTCTGGGTTCCCTCAGTCGCACTTAGACTGCTCAGGATGAGACGTATTGGAGGTTGAACATTGAGAGCTGCTGCCAGCCCCGAGTGGAGAGTGACAGGCTTGACAGGGCAGATGGGTGAGGCTGGTGAACGGAGCCGCTCTGGCATACATCACTGTCAGCCGGACGCATTCCTCTTATAATTAATGCCTTTCAATTAGTGGCCAATAACAGAGGGGCCGGAGGTCATCTGCCACTGCTGAGCAGAGGAGGAAGACGGAGGAAACTTGAAAACAAAAACTGACAAACGCGTGCACACAGACACGTGCGCCCACCAGGGCAGCTGTGGCTCAGGATGTGGAGCGGTTCGATCCCAGTCCATCGTTCGGTGTGCCGAAGTGTCCTTGGGCAAGATACTGAATTGGCCCTGACAGCTATGCCAGCAGTGTGTGACTGATGTGTGCTAGAGAAAGTGCTGCACAAAGATGCACTGTATGAATGTGTGAGTGAATGAGTGAATGGTAAAACTGTACTGGGACGCACTTTGAGTGGTCATCACGACAAGAGAATAAAAATAAATACAGACCATTTACCATTTATAGCCGGTGCCTTACCTATAACTCGTAGCTCTGTGTTGGAGAAGACCTCGCCGTGCTTGTTCCCAGCCACACACTGGTACATTCCCGTGTCGGACAGGGTCAGGCGGCTGATTGTCAATGCCCCATTGGCGACCTGTATGCGCTCCTGTGGACACAGGGACACATGCCCTTAATACGCCTTATTCCCAGCGCTCATCTACATAAAAACAGCCGGTCAGTGGGCAAGTGAATCATGGTCTGCAAGTGACAGACGTGGCAATAAATCTAGGTTTTCATCACTAATGGAGGGAAAGGCCTGGGTGGATGGAGGCAGGCTAGCAGAAAATGACCCTAATCAATCTGCATGTTTATGAGAGTGAAATAAAACCATGCCCTATTTATATCTCTAACTGCACCACAGGGCCTGTTTCCCCTTCAGCAGGAGGAGGGGATAAGGAATATCGTAACATCTGAGGTGTACTGCATTGTGAAAATTGCTTTTCTGATAGGTATGCCCTATACATACTAAATGCTGTGTACATGGTCATGCTGTACCACCTCTTTTTTTTGTGCCTGCCTGCGTGGGAAAACTTGCTCGTCACTGAGCCATCAAATTAAGATCTATTTAAGGACGGCTGGGCCTGATGAACTCAAAAACCCAGTTGGATCAGTGCATGAGTTGCTCATTTAATCCTCACTATATGTTTATCTCTCTGAGCTTGGCTTCTCACTCAACTCTGTCACCATGGTATTAAATCCTTGAGCAGTTTTCATACATCTTTGTGCAGCTGTGTCAGGTTCTACCACCTTGTGCCCTTCATCTTCTGTGTTTTCCTCAGGCTCGCCCGTAATGTCATTAGAGCCCATTTCCAAGGGGGCGTCTCAGCGGCCTGAACTCCAGTCACGGGGGGATTAAGGTAGAGTCGCATGAAAAGAGAGACTGTCCTCAGTGAAAGATCACAAACTAATCCTGTGTTTGAGCAGGTTGTGCCAGAATTTCCATAATGCTTGGAAGCCGTGGATGTGCGGGGACGAATATCCCTGCTGGCAAGGATGGCAAATGGTGGCGTACATCAGTCTGCACATGGGAAGCGCTCCTGTTTACGGCTGCTATTAATTAAGCATGACGTTCCACTCAAATCAGCAGTTTTTCATGCAGGGACCTGGGGGGACCATCTGCACGCCTTATGCTGAATGGAAATGATTGGCAATGTCATTCCCCAACAACACTGGTTTGATTCATTTGATATGAAACTGAGAAAAGCATGTAAAAGAATGGATGGCACGAAGGAGACTACTTCTTTGGTTTTATAAAAGTGGGCGTCTTGAATTTGATTGCTGTCTGCAGCGTCGCTCCTCAGAAATACTAATTACTGGAAGCCTTTGTGAGGACGAAGCCAAACAGCTGTAAAATTTAAACAAGAGACATATTATAATGCAGCGGCATAACAACATCAATCCACTACTGTGGCTTTAAAGAGAAAAAGGAGGAAAAATAATCATATTAGTTCTGCTCTTCAAATACAAAGATGCAACAGAAAATATCATCAACTGGATTTTTCTAATCTCGAAAGTTTGATCGCATTAAGAATGAAAGCAAAGTCTCAGGCTGAAAAAAACAACAAGTAATTATTGGTGCTCGTAGAACTGTGAAAGAAATTGATAGAAATGTGATTGATTACAGCTGACTATGAAAAAACTACATGAACTCAGCTTTGCAACAGACAGAACAGAAGCTCAGCCTGTTTGCTCCACTTGAGCTTGAATTATTGGGGAAGGCAGGAAATTTAAACCAGCTCCCCTCGTCTCATCGGAAAGTAGCAAACGTCACTTAAATTACATCATTCATTCCTTAAACTGAAAAATGGCTCTGACGCTAGAGTCCTTCCGGGGATAAACTCAGTTCAAGTACACTAGAGTAAGTAATTAGTATGGTGGTCCTGTTCGCCTTTAAATGGACTAAATCCTGTTTCATGCTAGAGTTTGTCTTGAATTGCACAGACACTTAATCCTGAAGCTATTGTCAATAAAATAGCAGAGAGAAGATGAGAACAGCCATGAGAAATAAAGCATTCCAATAAACCATTGTTATTCTGACAAGAGTCGTGGCAAAAAGCATCGTCATGAGTCTTTTAATCTGTGAGGTCTGACTCAGACAACAGTCACACAGCAGCACTGTCCGTCCAGTGATGCTAAAGTCAGATTTAAAGTTCTCACGTAATTCATTTTTGCACTGCTAATAGGTGTTTTTGGTAGTTTTTCCTGATCTAGTCGGTGGTTAAGGACAGAGGAAGTCGCACCCTGTACAGATTGTGAAGCCCTAAGAGGCTTGATCAGATTTTTGAGAGTTGGCCACTGACACTTAATAATAAACATGTTGACAACGAAGAAAGCAGAGTTACTGCAGTCAAGCCATGGATGTATGTGAGGCGTCATTTGCCAGGTGAACAACTGGACAAGCCAGTCTCTGCTTAAAATGAGATGCTTGTGAATTTGAGGTGTTACGGTACAGGTGCTGGGAGGAAGCAAAAAAGGTCCAAGTAGAACTGTTTACAGAAAAGCATTTATAAGCAGTGACAGATTTGTTTCTAGAGACTTCAGTCCTGTTGCTCAAAGTTAGAAAACTGTGGGCAAGAATACGTTTCACGCCACTGCGATTTCAGAAAGGTCTCAATTGATTCACTGTAATAAATAACAACAAATGGTGCATCCTCTCCCCACTGCTCCTTACATCACTGACCTTTCCCTCTTCCACTCATTAAGCCACTGTGGTTAATGGTGGCATTTGAGACAATGCAACACCTTCGCTGATTAATCCATTCACCCAAGCACCCTGAATATATCCATTCATTATGTCTATCTTAAGGGGAAATCTGCTACACAAAAAAATCAACACAGTCACAGTAATGATAAATCAAACAATGAATCTAGAGGGCTGAGTGTGGTGAGGTGTTTTTGCAGGATTATTTTTAAGGCACTAGCACTTACATACATTTCATAATGAGTGGAAGTAAAATCTGCCTTCAGTATTTAATGTCATTAATAAAAACTTCCTGTTTACAGATGGGTTGTCTTGTTTAGTGCACAAGAAAGTCAAGAGTCATACCTCTACATTTCCTCCCTGATACCGAGCCAAATCTGCTTATTTTCATTTGTATTTGTTGTTGTTGTGCAGAGTCTTGCTTCCACTAATATAACAACAGACTGGGCTCATTCCGACGACATGTATTTCAAGGACTGATCGATAACCCCTGGTGTCTTTGTCGCCTATTTTGCATAATGAAGCAAATTAACATAAAGCCTATTTATTTATCAGGTGCAAGCTGTGCCTGAGTGTCCGATCAATCTTCTCCACAACAACCTGGCGAAAGCATCCAAAATAATAATCCATTAAAATGAGGGACTAGAGCAGATCAGGGTTCAGCTCAAGTTAGAAGTCGGGTGTTTGGAGGCATCAAAGACTCATGGCATATTGAAGATTCAGAGGGCACAGGGAGCTTCAACAGAAGCAGGATGCCCAGTGTTTTTATAGAGAATCTCACTTTTTCCTTCCTGGTGGCACAGGATTAATAACGGCACTCGGCGATGAGAGATTTAACACAAGATTAGCGTAGCTCTTACATCACTGTGCTTTCCAGTCTACCATGAAATACTCAACCCGTTTACAGTTCAGTCTGTTAGCGCAGCAGACACACTCGGATTCCTTTAAAATAAATGTTGCTCTGCCGAATTGAACATTATAATGTATTGCACTGCAGGAGGCACTGTGTTGTAATGAAGAAGACGGTAATGTGCGGTAATTAGTCAGTAAAGCTTGAACAAGCAGCACAATAAAGCTCTGTAAATGGAGTACATGGTTGTTCACATTCTCCCTTCAAAGGCGGCAGCAGCAGCACAGTATACAAGCAGATCTGGGCCAGAGCTGCTGACGCATGTCTCACCGTGGAAGCTGAACTGTATCTTCAGTTTAAAAGACATGCATGTGCTTGACCGGTCTCACCTCGGCGGAATCCAGGTTCTCTCCATTTTTCATCCACCTGTAAGAAGGCTTCGGCTTCCCTGTGGCTTTACACTCCCACACCAGCGAGTCATCAATGAGCTTCTGCACATCTTCAGGTTTTTCAATGAGATGAGGGGGGGCTGGAAACATAAAACAAAAGTGTAAGTGAATGAGAGAGTAAAGACAAAACAAGACGGCTGTAAGGACATGAGAAATTAGCAAAAAGTATAATTTTCAGTGTTACAAAAAATCATTTAAAATCATTTTTTGACTGTGCAGCTTCTTTTAGAATCCACATAAAAGAGATAAAGTGACTAAAATATTTATTTGAGTTATTACTTGTATTTATTTGTCTTTGTTAACTGCAGAAACAGCCTTGTGAGCACGATGTTTCCTAAACTGACAGGAGGGGCCCAAAAACCGCTGATTAAAGCCCCATTTCCAGTGGCCAAAACCTCTGGCTTTGGTTTATATGGGAATGGATATCGGCCTTCAGGGTTGAAAGACTTTACACCAGGGTGTATGCACTACATGATGTTATGAAGCACACTGAACATAAATGTGAGAAAAAGTGTATAAATCTTATATGTTATTTTATATGTTAGTTCACAACAACAATCATTTTCTTAGAACCCCAAGAGACTGCAATGTCACCATGGTCTGAGACACTATAACAAGGTCCCATGCTACTACACACATTATCATGACCTTCTATGTAAAGTGCCTTGAGATAATGTATATTGTGATGTGGCACTATATAAATAAAATTGAACTGAAGTATATTTTGTACCAAACGATTCAAGTTCAGAAAGTGTGTGTGTGCACTTTGTTTTACATTTTGAGAAAAGCTCCTGCTGACTTTCTGGTGTGCATGCATCCTAACAGGATGTACTGTTTACCATCTCCTCTGCTTGTTTTTCACTTTAAAATAAAGTTATTTTATTTCCAACATTCTCAAAGATTCAATTGAACTCCAATCAGAGACAATGCAGTGAAGGAAAATTGAATTTAACATGAACTATCAGGTCTCTGTAAAGAGAAGCAAACAGTATACAATTTGATTCATTCACACATTAAGTTGCTTTTCCCGTGTTAGTCAGTGTGTTTAATACCTAATTTAGTTTTAGTATCAGGGCTTTGAATACCACATTTATTGTTTTGATCTGTTTTCATAGTTTCTCCGTAGAAACAAAAATGATGAAAACCATATTCATATACTTTAGGTTGGCTTCTGGTGCAATAAAATTCTCCCCTCAATACAATCTGAGTAAATGATGGTATAATTACACAGGGGCAGAATTGATTCTTGCTTTGCCACGTAAGTAACTCAAGGCTAGTTAATGATGAAGCCAAAGAAGAAGTGGAACATAAAACTGGATGTGCAAAGCTCTGTCTGCGTAATGCTCTGTACACTCTGGATGATGTGTAGGTCAAGCTACTATCATCCTATATCACACAAGGCCAGTTGCAGGACAAGAGTAATAGCTGACCGCACTTTTCCATTCCACAGAGCTCACCTAATGCCACTCTCAAGGACTGACCTTTGTGGAGGCCTTGCAGGAAAAGTACAATCCTACTCTAATTGGCTTCTGGTATACAGTATTCCTCACAATGAGAATTTCAGTATTTCTGCGAATGTATCCCTACACTGAGACTGTTTGCATTGTTACTTCAGCATGAAGCCGATGTGTGAGCGAGAGTGTGCGCATATGTGGGTGTTCAGAAACAGAGAGGAGATGGATATAAAGAGGTGGATGAGCTGGGATTCTGTGTGCTTTTGTGTATTTATGTCAGAGACCTGCACAGTGGATCATGTGTCCTACTACAGGCCTCTAAGTGCCACACCGGATGTGAGAGCAGCATGTGTTGCTTGCATACATACACTGCCTGCATGAGACACGTCTCAGGCATGTGAGCTGCTCTCATAGAGTCAGGGTCTCACCTATTTTCCAGCAAAAATAGACAGTGAAAATGATCTTTCACAACAGATTCAATATCTATCTGTTGAATATGTAAAAAAACAAATATTTACATAAATATTTACGACACTTAAATTGTCCTTAGTTTTAAAAAGCTAAAAAAATATCAGTTATTTATACGGCTGAAGAGAGGAGACATTTATGGTCTCATGTATGATGCAGCATCATTGCCATTGTTCACCTATTGCAGGTAGCATCTTCTAATCCTGCAACCAGCCTGCTGGACAATGCAACTATTTTTAAATGAAGATTCAGATCAAGCATTTTTTTTTTGGGGATCCTCACGTGCACATGTTTCACACTATCTTTCAGGGGCACTGTTGCTTCATCCTGTGCTTTGTTAAAGAAATAATAAGATGCAGGAGCATTTTTTTTCCATATTGCAGAATTATAGCAGATGTGCCAAAACAGGGGAGACAGCTCTGTGTGCAAGACTACATCTAATCAAGCCTGTCTTTTTAATCAATGTCAGCCATTGTAAACACGTCAAATACAATTTTCAAAGAAATGGTTTCTGTCATTTGTTATCTCATTGATGTTTGTCCAAATGTTCCTCACTTTGGTAACGTTTCTTTTTTTTAATTGGTTATTTGATGCTAAAATATGGGGTGAAATGTCATGATTGACAGCTGACACTGACTGATTGGTCGAGCTCACGTATCGACAGGACCTCGCTTAAGCGGATCCATCCCCCAATTGTTACTGCACAGACTCCGGCTCCACTTGTGCAAGATGGCAGCGTTCGTATCAGGGAAATTTTGACTTCATGTCTGGATAGTAGAGATGCCTCGTCCATCTTTATATACAATCAGTGGTTTGTACATGGAGTCCGCTAGCATAGATGGCAGAAAGTTGCTTGAGGGGACTCAAGCATCACCCGTTATTTAGCATCAAATCCATTTAAGCTATCGCAGTCCTCCATCAGAGCCTGGCTGAGCTGCCCCACCCACAGCACCTTTCAATACTGCATTGTTGTTCTTGCTGTTTTATTTTTTTCTCCCCCCTCTCAAGGTCCCTCACTCCATCCCTCACCTGCTGCGAACGTTATCGACTCTCAGTCAGCGCTCACCAAATTAAAGTAGGCAGCCCATCTCTGCCTGCACCGGGCCAAGCGCGCATACAATCAGGCCAAACGTCAAGTGGCTAAAGCAGAGCAAAGATGGGAATTTGCCTTATCAGTGAAATCACAGGGAGATAATGCAGCGGTAAGTCTGCAGAAACACAAATGTGAATACAACAGGGAAACTAACCTGTCACAGCTCTGCATTTACTCTCCGTCTGAGTAATATCAACATCAACAAGCCGGCGAGTGGCCGTTTCTTTTCAAAGCTTCTCAGGGATGGAGACTTTAACAACTCGTCTTTGGCTTCAATTCATTAAAGTCGAAAAACGAGTGGTTTTGTCAGTGGTCAGAAATTGGAGGCAGTAGGAGGCTGCCTTGAATACAAAGATTAATAAGTAGGGAGAGAGATGATGGCTAAATGAATTTTTTAAAATCAAGAGATAATATATATATTAGCCTATAACCACTAATGTGATTCTAAGCCCTCAGTACAGTGAATGAATTCCCATTTCAGGTAATCTTTTTAATGTTTTATGAATATATTTATTAGTATATCTAAAATCTGAAATTTAAAATAACATATTTTAAATTTGAAATACAGCTCCTACAGTCTTCTTTAAAACACTGATATAAAACTTACATCGAGGTATATTAAAGTTGACATACAACAATAAGCAAACTGCCACTGTGAACTAACACCTTCATTTCTTCCTGCCTGACACAAAACCCAGCTCTCTCTCCACTGACGCCCACCTGCATGTACAAGAGATACCCTTATCGATTCCCCCATTGGCTTACACTGCTGACAAATGTCTCAAAGGCTTAATTCAAAGGGAGTTCAAAATAAGATTACTGATTATTATCACTTGGCTGCAGACAGCAGGAGAGAGAAAGTGACATAACACATAAAACCTGAGAGAGGACCAGCAGCTCAAATGGACAAATCAAGCACTGGTGGATCACAGCGTGCTCCTCGGCTGTTATAGTGAATTCAGCTAAGAGCTACCAGGGTTGTTGTAAATAATGACAAATTGTTAAATGCCCCAAATGAGTTATTTGTGAGAGCTGACACAGCACGGCTCGACGGGAGAAAATCCGACAGAAGAACAGGGAGACTGGCAGAGGTGGGAGGAACAGCTATAAGCAAACAGGCTATACTTTTAATAAAGCATTAATGATTGACATTATTTTAATTTAACAATGAATTCCCATATGATTCATTCATATTTTAGTATTTCTACTGTAAGTGTTTTAGACTTGTACTGCCTTAAATTCATAATATAAGCCTCGATATTTTTAAATTGCTTTCAGATACTTGGTCTCTTTCTCATTTTCATACTAACTCATTTGCAGCAGTCATTTCGATTTATGCAAAAGATAATGCTTGTGTCATCAGATATCAACCAAACAAGGACTCCACACCACCAGTTACAGCCAAGTGTCTACTGGAAAAAACATGAGTTACCTTTTGTTTCCCAACGTGTTCCTGGAGCTGCATCACATTGTTATAGAAGAGTGTACACAAGCTCTATCCTTGGTACAAACAAAATATATCCAATCAATTTGAATGCTATTACGGGCAAATCCTGTTTTTTAAAAATATACAAATCATATATGAACCATATAAGATATTTACTTATTGCTTGAGTGTCTTGAATTATTAATGCAGAAAGCAAATAAATGTAAGGCAAACACAGTACACACTGTAATATGGGCTGAAAGAGTGGACATGTGTGTATCTTGTCAGCATAAATTAACATACAGAAAATAGTTATTTTTGTATGTGGAGTCAGTCATGGAGCGGAAACACAGAGGATTTTTCTTTTCTTAGACGTGTAAAGGATCAAACTAACTTACATTACACTTAAACTTGAAGACAAACAAATATTTTAGAATTTGCAATAATTGTTGAATTGCAAAAACATCACACCAAGTATATTGAAATTCTGTTTTATCACAGATGTGTACTGTAAATGTCTGCAATGTAAATACAAATTCAATTTCCACGTTTATCAGTGTTAGGGATTTCTGTCTGAAATGTAAAAAATCAAGATGTAAATTGCAAAATTCAGGAGAGAAACCTTATTGAAATGTGTACTGGGTCATTTTGTAAGAGCACAGTCCTTTTTCTGATTGTGGAGGTTTGAACTTTGGAATGAAAAAGATGGCACATCCCAGCCAGTGGTGATCGTGACCACTAGTATGTGAAGTCGTCGGTGAGACTCTAACCACGGCACTATCAACAATAATGCATCAATCTACTATCCTGCATCCTGCCCACCCAGATGCTGCTGTGCAGATTATGTCCTCGACATATGTGCCACTGGTCTATGTATAGTACATTTAACAGCTTTGATCTCAAGTCAAGTTGGATGTCAATCATGATGCCATCTGGTGGAACCCAATACGTGGCTCACCAACAAGGTCGTATCCAAGGGCTCAGCCTCATCCGCATCACTCTTTTAATCTGGATCAAAATATTAGAGGCATCATGGCTGACAGCCTTTAATCATTTTGATGTGCCGTTAAAACGAGCCTCCCTCCTCATGTATGCCGCGCGCTGATCGCCACTGACGGCTTTATGGGACCAGTTGGGTCGGTTTTTTCTGCCTCTCAGTCTGAGCAGCTCTGACAGATGTGGTGCACGCTGGTCAAATATTTATGCACGACGGGATCACCTACCGTAGAAAGAGAGCTTTCCTTTCACCGTGTTCATTCCCCTGGAGTTTTCGGCCACACATTCGTACGTGCCTGCATCCTCCTGCTGGAAATATGGGATCTCCAAGACACCGCTGGCTTTCCTCATGTCCACTTTCCTGGGGAACGGTACGCCGTCCACTCTCCTCCAGTTTATAGAGGGCACTGGGCTGTGAGAACAGAGAAGTGTAAACCTCTGAAGTCACAGCTTTTTTTAGACGAAATTCAGGTTTGTGCAGTAAATGAAGTTAAACAAACTGAAATACACTCAAAATATTTTGTTTATTGTCATTGATTATTTTTTGTCAGACAATGAATGGAAATAAACAAAAAGCAAAATTTCTGTACATTAACTAGACATGTACAGACTTTCATGGTGAAACATGCCAAACCAAAGTATATGAAGATTGTCCTTTAAATCAACTAAAATTGCTTACTTATCTCATTTTCATTACGCAACTGATGAGCAATAATGAACAATAATATTACTAACAACACCTTTTTGAATTGAATGTCTCACATCTCCCTAAATGCACAAAATAAAATAAAAACCCAGTTGTGTGGCTGAGATCAAAACAGTGCCATGATATTGTAGAACAAATAATAGACTGTTTATCCAATATAAATTAAGCCAGCTGTATAATCTTTAAATGGACATGTTCACATGCATATACTGTATATAATCCACCCCTGCATACATCAAGTTAATTATCACATTACATTAAGACTCCCTCACATGCTTTGTATTCCTGTGGGTTAGTTTCTGTGTAGGACAAGGAGCTGATAACTTGCACGAGTAGAGAGGCACTCAGAGAGCGCACACCTCCACCAAAGTTAATGTTGTATCTCACCTCATAAATTAAAATAAAAACTTCTGCTTTTTTATCAAGATACATTTTCATGAAAATCATATTTATAGTTTTTGAATCGTGTTGACTGACAATCAGCCGAACAGACAGATAGCGATGAAAAGGCAATAAAATGGTTTCATTCTCTAGTGAATTAGGATCTTTCAATAAAAGACTACAGTACTCAAACTTTAGGCATGTTACCTCGTCTTGTGCTCCAGGCTTCAGAACACTGTGTTACAAAATCCGAACTGACTCTTGCACCACACAATGTGCCCTGAAATTTCTGGGATGTGCAGCCCGGCTTGAAACACATGAGGATTGTGGCGAAGCAGTGGAACACATGAAAAAAATATCCCAGCATTTTTCTTCTAACATTTTTTCTTTTAAATGCGAATCAGCATGTGGAGCCTGAGTGAGAGTGGACTTACTTTCCCAGAGCGAAGCATTCCAGCTTTATGGTGGATCCTTTGGAGACGTGAACAACCTCTGGAAACTGAACTTCAATCTTTGGCTCATATTCACCCATCACACCTGAGAGGGAAATGCACGTCAGTGTCATGTCAGTGGTACTGCTAAATTTATTTTTTATTTTTTATTCAAGTTAAACAACTCAAGCAAAAAAACTATTTGTACAATCTGCTGTTACTACACAGCAACAGAAAACCTTTTTCTAGTACCGTCTATAAACTGAAATGTTTTTCAACTTCCAATGCCGTGCGATCTGAGCATCAGAAACTCGCTCTGCTCTCAGCCCCGTCACACAATGTGCTCCCATTTTAAATAATGAGAGACAGACGGCTATAGTCTCCAGTGGACATGTAACACATTGATGTTGAAGAAAATAAAAACAACTTCGAGAACTCATTGACGGTTTGTGCTTTTACATCCAGATGAGTTTCATCTTGTTGTAGTGCTAACAGCTGTGAACCAGAAAATGGGCCAATAAAATCCCCCTGGGTGCTGCCACTGTGTCTACAAAGCATCCCATTCACTGTCGGTGAGGCAGCTCTGGTGGATTATAATATTGCTGCTGTGCATGCTGAAATCCTCTGGATAAGACGACGACGAGGATGTGGGCTCCCTGGTATTCTAGCTTTGAGAGAAACTAATGTGTAAAGTGTGGAGTGTCTAGCATCACTGGAAAAGCACATGTGTGTGTTTTTCTCCTTAAATGACACCAAGGTGAGTCAAATCAGTGAATTTCTAATCAGAACTACTTTCATTTCTCCTGCCAGTTCTCAGCCTGGGTGCACAATATGGTATTCTAAGCCACTCTCATCCACCGGTGTAACAATAGCTCCCCCCCCCGTTGCTGTAATTCGGGGCCGTGTTGTACAAATAGCTCTAGAGACGGAGGAAAAGGGCCATTTTCATCTGGTTGATTTGGTGAGGCATGTGTTATCAGGACGGCTCCCTGAGTGACTGTGAAAGCTAATTCAGATCCTTATCACAACTGTCTCATATTGGAATGTGACCACAGCACTATCACCCATGTTAAAGCAGACAGGTGGAAGTGGAGGAGTAATTGTCTCATACCGTAACCTTTTGTAGCGGATACCTGTTTTACCCCCCCCCCCCCCCCCCGTCTATGACCGTGAGGGAGGCTTGATGTTTTGGTGGCTGCAATAAAGCTGAAAAAAGGGAGTGAAAACAGAGAGGAAGGAAGTGGTCTGGCATTTAAAAAAATATAACACAGCAAATAAAGTCAACCCTCTCCCTTTGAGAAATTATTTAGTTTATTCATTTTATTACAATTACTTTTAACGTGTGTCGTATATTGGGGTTGCGATGATGTGAAGATGATGAAGGAATCTCCGATGACACCGTCTTGATTGTATATAAAAGTTTAATACAAAAAGTTCAGCATCAATACAAGCAAAGCAATCTGCCTGGAGAGAGATTCAGGGCCAATGTGAATCTTCTCTGCTGCCTGGAGAGAGATTCGGAGCCAATATGAATCTCTTCTGAGGGGCAACTTCAACTCCTCATTTATATAGGAGTGTTGTTTTCATAATCCTAAAGTAAACACATCTGGTTTCTTATCCAGCTCTTCACGGTTATACAGTGACAGGAAGGGAGACGACACTAGCCCAAATTTAGTGTTGCACTTAGAACTGTGACCTATCACCCTACCATTTGTTCAGGCTTTCTCCAAATTCCTCAAGACCTGTGGACCTCAAACCTAAAGATAAATTTCTTTTATGGGGAAGACTACACATAGCATTTCAGACACCACACGTGAAAAGCACAGTATAGTATTCCTAGAGCCTTTGGTTAGGGTGACTACTCTCCTAATGTCACATACATAGGTTCAAACTTTCCCTGAAAACATCCTTTGTCTTATTGTGCTAGGAGAAGCTGTGATCCTAGCACAATATTTTGTTTGGCTTCCTGTGCTAACATTTTGTCTCATCATGTAGACATGAATCATTCTTACTACAACCAGTACTACTAATATAAATGGTAAAGCTAATAATATTAGCAATATTATAATCTAAAAGCAGTATAGTGATTACTAAGACGCTATAATGAGGTTCTAGGCAGATATTTCAATTTTTTAAAATAAATGTAATTTTAAATATCAATAAAGGTACCGTGTCTGTCTCAGAAATTCCTAAATTCAATTAGTTGCCTGCCCATAAGTGACATGAACAAAATGTATAAATAATCAATAATTGTTATGTGTGGACTGGTATCAATTGAGTCAGGGATGATTCATAGCAGAGGCTGTTACTGATGTAAGATGTAAACATTTGGTAAGTGTTTATAAACCACTAATATAAAATGGGTTTAAATATAAAAGGTAAAATATATAAATATAAAGCAAATGTATTTGCTTAGCAAATCTATTTTATAGGAAAAGGGAATGGAAAGAAAGAGAAAGGAATATGTGTCTTGTCATACGATATTGGCCATAATTAATGGTAAAAACCCAAATAAATGTCACAAAGGACATTTCTGGAGAAAATGATATTCAGCTTCATATTTCTTCCACTGAATAACATTAGAAATGGTAAGGAACACGCTTCTGGGAAAGAGGCTTACAATTGGATTACTTGATGACTATGACCTTTCCTCTGGAGTGGCTTGATAAGGCCAGCCTAAAGCATCGGATCCACATGTTAAAGGACATGCTGAAATTAGCAAACAATGGGATAATTAACCTTTGCATTTCATTTGTATTCTTTAAAACCACATGTCCTACTTTCAGGTACCAGTGATACAAGTTGGGCTTTTTGTTTACCACGACCAGGTCTGGCACATATTTCTCAGTTCTGCTGCAATAAATCATCCCAACAGATTCCATCACAGAAGAAGTGGTGATGTGCAACCAACATATACTTTAACATTCCCATTTGGAAAAGGGAAACCATCTGGAAAAGTGTGCATTTGATTAGACCAATTCAGTACAATTAAGAGGCAACATTTGCATCCAAGGAAACAGCCCACTGACAGCAGACTCATTTATAATGATTACCAGTGTGATATGCAGCAAAGTTACCTGAACAAACTTCTTCACTGACTTAAGCAGGGCATACACTGCACAGTCGGATCGTCTGCCACAACCTGAGCGCTCACACTGTACGTTGCAGTCAGCTACTCCGAACCAGCTCCGAACTAGTTGGTTTGTCAAAGGAGTTGAGTTTGTGAACACTGCTGCCTTCCTCACGCAGGAAGGAAAAAGATGCTGAGTTTAGGGAATCGACTTGTGACTATTTTAACTGAGCAAGAGCCTGATGATTGCCAAATTTTCTGACAAGTCAGGAATTCCTCAAACGACAGTTGGGAGGATCTGATCGCTCCTCACAGCCCCTGTTCATTGCACGAAAAACGACACGTGACAAAGCTGAAAATCGGTCTGACTCTAATATGAGTCCTGCAACCACATTGTACAATGTATGTCCAGCTTAATACTGTTCTTAATACTGTGGTTGATAATATTAACATTAGAGTAGTTTGTGTGCTCAGAACTCACCATCACTGCGGAGCACCAGAGGAGTGGGTGGACCCTGGACTCTGGTCTTTGTGACGGAGTTGGTCACCACACAGGTGTAGTTGCCGACATCTGAGGGCTCCACCTTGGCGATGTACAGATTCCCCGTCTCCTGTGAGATGAAGCGACGAGTGTCCTGCTTCACAAAGGTTGGGTATTCGTTAAAGATCCAGGAGAATATCAGATCTGTGGATCAAGAAGAAAGGAGAATTCTTAATTAAACTCAAAACTGCATTTTTCTTTTGTGAGATACTTTGGTCGCATTTGTTGAAAGGTCGTAACAAACCTATAAACAACTAGAGGGGCATTTAAAGAACTCATACATCCACCAAGGAACACATCCTAACTCACAATGTTAAAGAAACAGATCCTGCCATGTTGGAGAAAGTGAAAACAAAATCATTGATCCGTTCTTTTATCTGGATTCAAAACAAAATACAGCAGCTTTTTCCTTCTTTTGTGTCAGTAGTTTTTGTTTAGGCTAATCATGGCCATTTTTTTTTGCAGCAAATATCTTTGTCATCTGAATGTCAGATGAATTTTGTTTTAATAATTTTTCAAAAAGTCCAATGCTTTGTCTTCATCCATAATTAAAATGTAATAAAAGAGTAATCTTGTGCCCTTAGTAACACAGTTGTCATGATGCATCCACATAATAACACAGTAATGATTAGTTATTGCTTATGTGCCATTTGGCTATACCTGACTGAATCAGGTGTGATCTAATAGATGCAGTAATTATGCAGACTCGCAGATATTGCACATTGAAATATCCAGAAGGTTGTTCCCACTCCCATATCACATTACCTCTTATCTAATCCCTTTTTCAGAATGATTCAGCAAGTGCTGGTAAATATGACTTACTGATCTGTTTCATATTAAATCTTTGGATCTTATTTATTATGTCAATTGCAAACCATTTAATATCCATTACATGTTATGAGTGTGCTTGACGACCTGGTGTTCTTGAGCAGATGGTGTGTGATGTACAAAAAGGATGAAACACATTAATCATTCATTATCCCTGTGTGATCCACTGTGTGACATTCTGTACGGCTAATAATCCAAATCATGTCCAAATCATTTTTTTTTTCCCCGTTTCAAACATTCACATATCTGACAGGGGTCGTGCCGACATGCTGTTACGAAACCAAACAAAGGTGTGACTCTTCTCTAACAGGAAGTGGGGCATCGAGTTGCCAAGTACCTGTCACACTGCTGAAATCAATGAACATTGTGGGAGTTTAAATGTCACTTTCCCCAGTGTCACGTCATTGTGCTGGAGTATTTCAAAATGAGCAAAACGCACAGACTTGAAGACTTGAGATCCAAGTAAGGATCTTCTTTTCTTTCCTTTTTTTCTTTCACAAATGTGTAAAATTCAGTCTTAGCTTGTGTCAATTTTCAACCACTTTTCTTAAAAAGCCGATCAAGACAGAAGATTTGGTTCATTGACCTATCAGGATCATTAGTCTTCTAGTTTGACACCATGAGATATTTTAAAAACAGAGAAGTAAAAATCAATGACCTCGAGAAGTATCGATGATTTGATAAAGTCATAACAATTATGTGGTTACTATATAGAAATAATTAATGACTAACTGTTAAAGTAATCATAACTTCATTAACCTGGCCAATAATCCAATTTACAAGGGAACCAGTGTTTAAATTGAAATAAATGTTCAGCAGAAAATTGTGAGCAATGAGGGTCTTTAACAACACAATGTAATTAATGAAAATTCAATTCATAACCACCTCCTTTAAATCACTACGTCAGCAGTACCAGTCTTAATTCAAGCACAAACACCAGCTCTGCTATAGGTTTCACACAGAACTTGAAATAGCCATGTAGAAATAATTGCAGAAAGAGCAGCATTGGAAGAGCATATAAAACATTGGATGTTTTAATATTTATAATATTTATAATAGTTTTAATGGCTCCATTTATCTTCCAGCAGCTGTGTTGAATGAATTGGGTAAAGTGTTTCAGTAATAGCTCATATGATGTCTACTAATACTGTGTAAGTTCTTTACATTAATGATGCTGACAGATCACATCTGAAATGTTGTGACGTAGTCCGCCGCTCTGAAGTTTTTGCAGCCACTCAAACTGACAGGTGTGTGTTATTTTCCTGCGGAGCTGAATCAAACCCTACCACTTGTTAGCAGACTAGCAATTAAACAAAACAGTCCTCCAATCCCCTCCCCTCGCTGCTGGACCATTTATCACAGCATGCTCCCATCCTCCCGCTGGCTGAAAGGAGCAGGTACTGCACCGATCAGCAGCATTTGGGGCTTTGGGCTCAGGGTTTGGCGTTGCTGTATGTGTGGGGCTAAACACAGAGTAATGGCACCGCAGAGGTCCGCAGGGACAGGGGACACTTCAAGGCAGGATAAGGCATGTTGTTTGTTTGTTTCCTCTCCAGTGCTCTTGGACTATGGCTGCACCTGCTCTCGTTCTATGTTTAAAGCCCATATGCCTACACTGCACAACATGAGCTGCAGAATACCACAGAGAGCAAAAAACATAATGAGATCTCTCACACAGCTGGCCGAACGGTTTTTGCCAAATCATCCAGGGCATTGATTTTATGGGTTACACAATTCTCTCATGTATAAAACCAGGACATCTTTTTGACAAATTGAAGAAGAAATCCAGTTGCCCAGGGAAGCAGAATTATACTCACTGCCCTGAAATCAGGACATCAGCCTTATTTTGTATGGGAACAAAAGCAGTCTCTGTACATGAGCTCTAAATAACGAATGAAGTGGCAAAGGTGAAAATACGCAATAATCTTGGCATTACACTCTTTGTTAGACTAGTTTTTTATTTCATGGTCTATTTAGATAAGTAGGTATATTAAAAGGTGTTCCGTTGGATAGTGGTCTGCAGGAGTCCCTGGAGAGCTCTTTGTGGTTTCCGTCTAGGTTAAAGATCACTTTGCAAAAGTCACAATGAATAAAGCTGCTTCGCTCACAGAAGGAGACGCAGGGGCAGCTTCAAAGGACGGGCCTCACTGAATATTCAAAGGCTGAACAAGGCGTGCAAGTCAAACATGACCGTACCCTCGCTCTGCTAACACCAGGCCCGGACTGAATGGCATTAATGTAAAGATGGAGAGCGGAGACAAAGGAGGCGGGCTGTAATCCGACAGACGGCCTCTCATTTTTTATGACAACCTGGAGAGGAAAAGTCTTTATCAACCTGGGACACCCGCGGACGGCCACACATGCAATTATTTCTTTACACTGTCCTGCTCCACAGAGGCAGCAGGTAGTTACATGAACACAAACCAAAATAAACTATTGAGATACATAATGTAAATGATTAAAAATAAAGCTTTTTATCACTGAATATTTAAATCAGTCCCATGGTTGTACAATATATTTGCAGAACATTCTTTTATCCAAGAGTAGGCTCCTTCGTTATAGAAGAGAAACCTTTCAGAAGGCTTTTCTGTCCTTTCACCAGTGAATACAATAAAAATGTTTTATTTATAGCAAAATAACTTTATTTATATATCATGTAAAGCTGAGAAAACCAGTGGAAAGCACTGATTTGAGGTCTTCACGAAGCATTTCATCTACAGATCATTTTAACAGAGCTTTTTTTTTACTTTCAATATTTGACATTTTCAAACTGATTTACAAAGGCATATGATAAAATACGCTAATATAAGATACAATTCACAGCAGCAGACAAGTCAGAATGAGGTAGACCAGAGAATAAAAAAGGCAACAGACACAATTTTTATAAAAATACAAATACAGATGTGATATGAAAAATTGATAGTATACATATCCATCTGTTAGCATATGTTAAATTTTGAGTGATGTTGTAGAGCAGTGGGAATGAAGGACCTTCAGAAGCTGTTGAAAGAGGTTCTTTGGGCTCCCACAGTGTCATAGGGGATGAGAGGTGTTGTCCAAAATGGATTTTATTTGTTGTTAATACATACCAATAAATTAAAATTTTATTAATTTTATTATTTACATTTGTTTGTTGTTGTGTGGATGAATAGTGAAAATATGTTATATTCCGACTTGTTATAGTATATATATTGTTCCGAACTGTTATACTAATCTATCTATTATATAATCTATAATAATAACTGTATTGATTACCAAAAAAGATTTGCAATGTACAGGCACTTGCACCTCTTTTTGTGTATTTGCAGTCTAATAATAAAGTCACACTCATGAAAAGATTGGTCCATAAAAAGCCAGAAAATATCAAAAATGTACAAACACAAGCTGAAGGTCAGCGTTAACGCAGAGGTCAAAACTACTAACTAACTAACTAAGTATATAAATATCCAGCACGCTCTATTACGAGTCAACATTAAGACTCAATAGTGCTAAAAACCTCCACTGTATGTTTTTGCTGCAGCGTAAATCGAATCAATACACACCAAAAGGGCTGAGGGGGTGAGTGCTTGTACTTTTCTTTAAGAATTCTACAGCAGTTTGGTATTCCTCAGGGACTTACGTAAGGGAGGGGGAAAAAGAACAGAATGGTCACAACAGCCCTACAGATGTAGGAAAGGCCAAAATATCTTGTCAGACAAGTGCAAGATCCTGAACTTTCCATAATCCAACTTGATGGCATCTTTTGTCTGGTAAATGCTCCACATCTTTCAAAACTTCACAACAACCCTTTAGAACACAGGCGTCCTGTTTGAAATATGTAGTGTGAGATAAGTTCTTCTAGAGCCACAGATAACATTTTACAACTGATTTCACAAGCTGACTCCCTATGATGTATAAAGTGACCATAATGTGTAAAACTGGAGGAATAGCCCTTTGCACTCATGCATACATTGAACAATTAATTTGACTCTGTTTTCCTTTATGTATTCACCTCATGCGCTCAGTAGAATAAATAAACCTGAGGACTTCAGGACATCCATTAGAGGATGTTTGCAAGGTGAACACTGCCACTCTGACTCTGTTAACAAGGCATCATCCAGGTCAACAATGAAGAGATGAGCACTGCATAGTCAGCTTACAGCTGATTAGAGGTGCTGTCGATTAACAAAACGCAGCAGACGACCCCTCAACAAAGTCATTGTTGAGGGGAGCAAAAAGGACTGCAACTGCGTCCACGTGCAGCCCTCATGTGTCTGTTATAGTCAACAGCGTCAGCCAGCAGTGGAAAAACCAGCCATTTTTTTTTGTGTGTTTTT